TAAATGCATTATAATCTGAAAAATGAAAGTTATATCTCCATACAGAAAGAGCATTGTACTCAATTTCTATGATTGAATGAGTCAAACACCCAAATTTGGTCAACAAATATAACCCCTAGTAGTACACCCACAATTCTGCATCAGTAGTTCTTCTTGATGATGGTAATTTAGTTTTGAGATATGTATCAAGTTCAATTTCAATCACACCAGTTTGGCAAAGTTTTGATCATCCAACCCATACTTTCTCGCCTGGTGGTAAATTGCAATACAACAAGAGGACAAATATGAAGCATATTATTATGTCATGGAAAAGTATAGAAGATCCTACAAGTGGTCTTTTTTCTATAGAGATCGACCAAATTGAGAATCATTATCTACTTTTGTAGAATAGATCTCGTGTGTATCAGGCTAGTGGATATTGGGATGGTAAAATATTTAGCACAATGCCTGAAATGAGATCAAACAATGTCAATAACTTCAGCTACATTGACAATGAAAATGAGAGTTATTTTACATATTTTATGTATAATCCTTCACTTAGTACTAGATTCATCACAGATGTCTCAGGGCAGTTTCCGCAACAAGCATATGTGGAACCTATAGCAGAATGGACTTTGTTTTGGTCTCAACCTAGAGAAATATGTAAGATCTATGCTTTATGTGGGGCTTTCGGTAGTTGCAGGAAGACTGAACTTCCATTAATCTGTAGTTGTTTGACTGCTTTTAAGCCAAGATCAGAGAGTCATTGGAATCTGAGTGATTTCTCTGGTGGGTGTGTGAGAAAAACAGAGTTCAGTTGTAGTTTCCTTCCATGTTTGATTATATATATATATATATATATATATATATATATATATATATATATATATATATATATATATATATATATATATATATATATACTGTCAGGCTGATATTCTTTATAGCATAGGTGTAATATTTTTTATTTTAATGTTCTATAAACAAAACTTATATACTTATTTTTTGAAACATGTGTTTGTATAAAATTTTATTAAATGTAGAGAACATCACGAGCTAGTGGTTGAGGATGCAGATCCTATTTGGTCAAAGGGTAGAGAACAAATTATTTCTTCAAGCAAGGGGATGAAACACAGGCTTGAAAATATTCTTGAAAAAATTCATGATGTTATGGAAGATCCAAGGTTTGGTCCAATGTTGCTTTTGGGGGCATTGATGTTATTTGGTTTCATTTATTTGAGGAGAAATCAGTCGATTAAGTCAAATCAAACAAATACTGAGGTAAACATTGGCTAACCTCTCTTTGTTCATGTATTAATACCAATCTTTTTTTTCGAAACGAAATTTAAAGTGGAATGTTGTAGTGGTATAAAAGAAATGAAAGTAGGATGCTGATGCTTATGCTTTCCATTACAAATGTAACGACCCAAATTTTCAATTAAATTTTTTCATTTTTAATTAACCAGACATTCCATAAAATGTGAAGTAACATTAACCATTGTTTTCAAAATTTCATAACATTAACATTTTATTCAAAACATCAGAGTGTCCCAATCGTATTTGAGGCTACTACAATTTTCGTTTAGATTAATCCCATTAAAAAGTAATATAATTACGATTTTATAAAAAAAACGCTCATACATATATTCAGAAAGATAATACCATTTCCCTTTAAAAAAAGTTAAGAAATATGTAACACCCCTTCCGAGAAGGTTCATTTCTAACCCTAAACCTTTTCAATCTTGCCATTCTGGTCTGTATGCCATGCGTACTCGGGGTGTACGCATGGCGTACTTATGCATGAGGAACATAGTACTCACACGCGTACGCCCGACATACTCAGCATGTACGTGACACATATGCTGTTCAGACCAAAACCCTAAGTTTGAGGCTTTGCACCCTATATATTCCCCTTTATGGCCCCAAGACGTTCACCCTTATTAGCATCCACCTAAAAGTTGTCCCTCTACCTAACCCTAGTTGTGGAGAGTACACCTTAAGCTCATTTGTGTGTTTTAGTGGTGTTCTTGAAGAAGAAGAAGAAGGTGGTGAAAGGACATTGGACCTTTGAAGAAATCTTTATCTAAGATTCTCACCTTGCTAGCAACCTTAAGGAGGTAAAAAGCTCCTAGCTTGATCATCTTTTCTTAGGTCATTTTTGGTCCCAACCTTGCTGATTCTTGAGCATGACATGCTCTTAACCACATAAGTCGTCTTTTCAGTCCCAATGTGGGATCTTGAGTCATAAAAATGAGATCTTGATGATTAGTTCTTCCCCATCCACGCCCTAGAATGTCATTAGGTATTTGGAAGTTAGGATTGCGGGTATTAAGATAAAACTTACCGATTTATAAAATCTATTATTGAGAAAACCGTTTATTCCAAATTACATTTATTTAAAATCAGAGTTTTAAACAGAAAGCGGAATTCTCAATGCTGCTTATCCGTGTGTACAGTCTCACCTTCCCCTTCCCATAGACACCAATGATACCTGAAATAATAAACAAATGGGTAAGCATAAAGCTTAGTGAATTTCCCCAAAATAACACATACCAATCATACGAATGGGCGGGGTTCAGTCCAACCCAAAACAAATATGGGCCCCGCCCTGGGGTATATGTCAACACAAACATATCACAGTCGGCCCCGCCCTAGGGTATATTTTAACCCGTTATGCCATAGTGGGCCCTGCCCGAGGGTATATTTCAACCCAACATAACATGTATCGTACGACAACTATCATACTACATGAACAGTTAATGGGTCGGCCTTGGTGCCTTCGACCCACGGTATAGTGAGGCGAAACTCACTTCGATATACCCGTAGATAACTACTGCAGGAATGAAGGACTCAACCAGCTTCAACTCAATTCTAATCACCTACAGGAAGATACTTGAGTCAATACCCGATCACAACTCATATTCAGTTGCAATTGTGACCACCTCACATGAAATGACGATTAGGGTTTCACATAAAATGACGATTAGGGTTAAGTAAGAACACTTAACCTATTAAGGACTTAATAAATTAAGGGTAGGACTCATTAAGGTTTGACTTGGTCATTCTCGGGTATAATAATAATCCAATCAATTGTCCAAATACACGCCTGATCATTGTCTAAAATAGAGCTCTTGATTCTAGGGTTTCCACATAAAATGATAACTAGGGTTAGTGTTCCACACTTAACCCTTAAGGACTTAATCCACTAAGTCCAATATTGCATTAAGTTAATTGTAGGGGTATTATTAACTATGATTTAAAGTTTAATTAATAGTTTTTAACGTGGGTCCCGACCAACTCCAAAATTAGGGTTTTCTTGGCATTATGGTTTTCTAAACCCTAATTAGGGTTTCCAACTCCTAAAGTTAGATGATTAGCTAATTAAATAAATATAAATATATATATATATATATATATATATATATATCTATATATATATATATATATATATATATATATATATAATAAATCGGGCACCACCCACTCCCACCTCAGGTAATGGTGGTCGGCGGCGGTCCATGGGAGGAGCCACCACCTCACGGTGGTCGTGGTTATGATTTTATGCCAATACATATCAAAAGCATTCCAAAAATTAGTCCAATCACACACATATGCACACAGCCACCCAAGGTGGCGGCTGGTGGTAGTAGAACGGCAGCATGAGGTGGCAGCCACCACCTCATTGTGGTGGTGGTGATTTTTCTTCCATTTTCGACCAAGAATGTCTCTACAACATCGCACCACTAACACACTCTCGTCCACACAATAACACACACACGCACACACACAACTACCTCTCACGGTGGCTGGTGGAGGCAGAAGATGGCAGCAGGCGGCAACCACCATGGTTGGCCGCCATGGTGGTCCTTTACGATTTCCAGCCAAACCAAAAATCACACACACGCCACACAAACTTGTAGCAGCACACACACACTCACTCACGCAACACACGAACACAACAACCTCCTTCCAGCTGGTAAACGACGACCGGAGCAGCCAAAAAATAGAGGAGTCGCATGGCTAGAGATGTCAAAAACCTCTGTGGGACCCCGATTCCGTACTGGATTAATTTTTCAAAAAATTCGGAGGCGGGGGTGGGAGTGCAATTAAACCCCATTTTATTTTCGAGACCGGGGGCGGGAGTGGGTATTTCCGTCCCGTATTCCCGCCGGGGCCCTGTTTGTATATTTATATAAAAAATATATATTTAATATATATATATATATTATATATATATATATATATATATATATATATATATATATATATATATATATAAACAATACATTATCTAATTTTAGAGCTTTTTAACTTTCTTCCACTTCACATCGTATGACGATACGATAGTGAATTTGGTCATATATTTTTGAACATGTCATACTTTTTTTTGTAATGTTGAATTTGTCGTATTTTATATTTGTAAGTTTTGTTGGATTTGTTGTTTTGTAATGTTCCATTTTAAATATTTTAGTTTTAATATATATATATATATATATATATATATATATATATATATATTTTTTTTTTTTTTTTTTTTTTTGAGAGCCACAAATATATAATATCATGACTCCTTCCACAAAACTAGCTGGTTTATGTTTTATTTTAGCCGGTTCATTCCATGAGGAAGATTCGCAAGAATCCATTATCATTATGTATGACTTCTAATTATATAATTTTCAATCGTAACAAACATTTAATAAATTGCCTTAAACACGTTAGTTGTATGTTCTCTTTCCAAAAATACACAAAGTAGTTTTTTGTTAAGTTATATTTTGAGATTTCATGCGTTCAATTCATTTAAAATTTCCATTTCGCAATTTACACGCATGTATAAACCTAATTATTCAAAATAAGAAACTTGCGGTGCAAGTAGCAAACCTCAACTATAAATAACTAGTTCACATCATGTTACTAGATCATATGATCGATTAATTCAAGTTAAGGTTTCAGACTTCAGAGTTTTTACTTCAAGAAATCAGGATTTTTATAAGCTTTTAAAGAAGAAATTGAGAATTCGTATTATGGCTACATCTATGCGTTCATACGGGGTGATAGACGCAGATTCCCGGTGCTTATTCATGATCAACGCACAGCCAGGTGAGCATCTGCATCTCGATCAACTAATCGGCGTCAACCTCTCTCCAATTCAGGCACTAAAGATCCAAGAGGGTGATGAAGACTTGTGGTGCTTGTTGATTGACCATGAACCTGCGTACTCAACTTTCTGGATGGAAGTGACAATGAATCGTGGATCCATTGCCAGTGCTAGATTCGTGGATGGATCACAAGAGTTCGATGATGAAGAGACTATGGAGATTGCAGAGATTGTAGTTGAGTATGACAAGTACTCGAGGTATCTTAAAAAGATTTCTGAACTTCCAGTCACGACTATAGGAAAGAATAAAGAGGATGGATCAAAAGAAGGAGAAGGAGAGATTTGTGGGGTTTGTCAAGAAGAATATGAAGCGGGTCAAACGATCGGAACAGTCAAATGTGGACATGTGTATCATGAAAAATGCATCAAGAAATGGTTGGTGCAGAAAAACTTGTGTCCAATCTGCAGGTCCACAGCCTTTTCATGAAGTTAAATTCCGGTTAAGATTATAGAAAAGTGTCCGGATCAGTAAGCATTGATTTTGGATGGAATTCACGTACAACGAATCATGGATCGAATTAACCACTGCTAGATTGTGGATGGATCACAAGTGATCGATGATCAACAGCCTATATATGGAGATTATTGCAAAGATTATTTTCCTGTTGGAGTCTCGTCAACAACAAGAACAAGATGATGATGATGATGATGATGATGATGATGATGATGATAAAACAGAAGATGAAGTAGTAGCAGAAGAAGACGAGGATTACAAATCAGAAGAAGAAGAATAATAAGAAGAACACAAAGGAGGTGAAGGAGATGGAGATATATGTCTGATTTGTCAAGAAGAGTCTTACATGGGTGTGAGTTTATCGGAGCATTGGAATGCGGACATTGGTTACATCAAAAGTGTATGATCAAGAAATGGTTGGTGAAGAATAGAGTCTGTCCAATTTTCAGATTCATGGCCTTTTGATAATAAGGTTTAGGGTTAATTTTCACATTTGTTATTTTGTTTCTGTTTTACGTAGATGTTTTCAAATACTTGGAAAACAAAAAGAAGACTATGTTTAGCACGTTAATGTTATTAATCAAAATCAGCTTTCAAGACATTAATGATACTTAGCTTTGGGTTTTGAAACGAATAAGTCAACAAAAAAAAGTATCCGTTGATTATTTCACTTATTGAAGTTGAGTCGAAAAAATTTAAGTTTATATTTGTGATAGTTAATTTTTATTTACAACTAGGAAAAAACCCAGCCGTTGGATGGGGTTGCTTTACTTTTGGGAACGTTGTTTATATGGTGTTGTATGTGTGCATGTGTGCTATTCTGTTTGACATAATATGTGAAGCAAAGTGAACGTCTTATTTCCATAGGTGGATTTTGTACAATAATTACATACAGATAGTAGTTGTAGGATATGAAAACACCAAAAGAGGATACTATCGACGTTGATTACATAGAAACAACAAAAGAGGATTTTACATCAACATGGGGGTGAGTTGATCTGAGCACTGGAATGCGGACATTGATTTCATCCAAAATGTGTAAGATCAAGAATTGGTTGGTGAAGAATAGAGTCTGTCCAATTTGCAGGTTCACAGTCTTTTCCTAATAAGGATTAGTGTTAATTTTCGCATTTATTATTTTGTTTTATGTTTTACGCACATGTTTTCAAATGGGGTTGATGGTGTTGGCTAAAAAAGAGGGAGAGAGGAGAGCCTTGGGGTACGCTCACTTATGCATTTTTGTTTAGGTTCTCGAGATTCTCAATCGTTTTTTTTAGTGTGGAGGAATAGTGCGTGAATGACGATTCTCAGACGAGGGAATCGTTCCTCTCTAAATAAAAAGAAACTAGTTCTATTGATAGAGCTTTCACGTCTGCGCATAGAAGACTTTTTTTTTCCCTTCCATTCCGTTCTTACCTTATCATGGGCAGTGGGGTTGGAATCCGTGTGATTGTTCGAAAGTGCTATCAAATATTCTTCGCATCCCCAGAGAGATACATTGTTTCCATTGTGACTTGGTCGTCAAAAGGGGCACTACTAGTGTTGTGTACTTTTCATTGGAGCACACCTTTCGCTAGGAAGGGATCAACTACTTATAAAACAAAAAACAAAAAAACAAAAAGAAGATTATGTTTAGCAAATTAATGTTATTAATCAAAAATCAGATTTCAATTAATGATAGTTTGCTTTGGGTTTTGAAACTTAGGCTACAAAAAAAAGTATCCTTTGATTATTTCACTTATTAAAATTGAGTTGAAAAAAAATTAAATTTACATTTGTGATAATTCATTTTCATATACAATAATTTATATAAAAGGTGATGAATAATATTGTCAAACAAAAATCACATGATATAAAACTTAAAGTTATAAAACTGAAGTATTAATTTTTTTGTTGTATATTTATGAAACTGATTAATGTCACCTGTAATAAAAGTAGAATGATATAAAACACAACCCAAACTATTCATGTTGTTTGGAGTAAATTATGGGTTTCATTCCTCTGTTTTATTTTTCATTATTGTCTATGGTTTTTTTTTTCATTTCGATTTTCCTCTTTGCAAGATGTTAAATTTTTTGTTGCGATTTTCCTCTTTGCAACATGTTAGATACTATAGCTTCCTTACATATTTCTTTTTTAGTTCATCTATTATGTTTTTATAATACTAAAAATTTGAAATGGGCCACCCACCCACAGACAATCCCTTTTTAAATTCTTACAAAGTGACTTAATTACCATTTTTTTAAATCAATCATGCGATTTTTATCCTAGTCATACCTTTAAAATAACAATCATGTTCTACTAAGCAAAATCGATAAACACCATAAATCAAACAACCTCTTTGTTACGACTGCTTCACATCTTATCGTCATCCTTGTCTCGTTCTCCATACGTTTATGCTCTCTCTCTCTCTCTCTCTCTCCCTCTCTGTATATATATATATATATATATATATATATATATATATATATATATATATATATATATATATATATATATATATATATATATATATATATATATATATATATATATATATATATATATATATATGTATGTATCTGTGTGTGTGTGTAGCATCAACTCTCCTTTCTTGACTCTTCCTATAATTTACATGTATGTAAAATTTCTCTCAAATTAAGGTGTTTGATGCGTGTAATCGGGATGGTCATACATTTAGTTTCTCATTAGATGCCTTGCTTTGAAAATCAATAACTCAATTTTGACTCTTACATTTGTACAGTTTTGAAAGAATTGATGGTACGTAAGGGCAGTTTCAACTAGCAATGAAAATTTAATGATATTTGATAGATAATGAGTATGAGTTGATAGTATATTGTTACATTTGAACTTTTCCATAAATAATAACTTCGACTCTTTAATTTGCCTAATGATCATTGGTACGAGAGACTGACCATACGAGTACAAGTAGAAAACAAAGCAAACAGTGTAATAGCACAAATATGTCACATGTGTATACAGATCAAGAACCACTCAAACGATGTTGCATTTTATGTGTCATATGGATCTTTTGTATTGGATGCAACCATAGCTCTAGCCATGTATTTTGGAGAACAAAATTATAATTAGTTTAGCTAGAGAAATTAATATTAATTCATCAATAATTAAATTACAAGAACTTACAAATGAAGGACTAGAGATTATCTTGAATAGAACATGTAGGAAGTCACATGGTTAAAGCAAAGGCCAATACCTATGAATGACATTTTAAATTTCTTTCTTTACCATTGTAACGGATAAATAATATTTGGTTGATGAAGATTATATATATATATATATATATATATATATATATATATATATATATATATATATATATATATATATATATATATATATATATATATCTATATATATATATATATCTGATTCCATATTCCAAGATAATATACCATCAATGTCAATTGGAAAATGAGCCTCCAAATAATATGCAATTAATTCTCTTTCATCATTGTGAAGTTAAGTTGAAAAATTATTCGGTATCTTGAAGAATAGATGAAAAATATTGAGTAGAATTATTAAATTTAGTGTGCAAACTAAAATTAATTTTATTATGGCTTCATTTGCTTTACATAACTACATTTGTGGTAATTTCAAGAAGAAACAAATATTGATTTGATTGAAGAAGATCTATATTGAATACCAGATGATGAAGTACGTGATGTCATTAACAGTAACACACGTAATGAACACTTATATATGTACACGTAATGATATTGCAACTATAATACGGAATGCTCCATATCGATGATTTTATTACTAGCACTACTAGAAAACATTCCTTTAATGACGCACGAACAACGACATGCGGTGATTTATGATACACATTTTTTGCGTGTCCTAAAAAGGATGTCGGATTTCCAAACTTTGAAGGATAGAGGACACACATTGTGACAACCCGAAACTTCGTCCGTTTCCGTTACGCGATTTCCGTTAATAAAAATTTGAATTCATTAACTTTTCCGTCAAACTTCTTGGTTTAGAAAATAATCTAGTTATATATAATTAAATTATTTGCGAGTCGGAACCAAAAATCGTGCGGGAAACCGAATATCTCGAAAAACCAAACATTTCCGGTCTAAGTGAGGTTACGACCGTAAACCAGTTTACGGCCGTAAACCCGTTTACGGCCGTAAACCCGTTTACGGTCGTAAACCCGTTTACGGCTAGTAAAGAGTGCACCCCACCACCGACCACAAAACCCCTATAAATACGAGACCTCCACCTTCATTTGAACATTTCTGGCCAAAAACTCTCTCCTTCTCTCTCTAAGAACCTTGACCATAAACACCTAAAAACACCTTCAAATTTCGGGAAACATCGAGAAACACCGTTTGGAGTCACTTCGGAACGTCTGGAAACGCTTATCTCTTCGAAATCAACACCATCGTTCTTGAGTTTACGGTCCATCTTCAAAGACCGTAAACCCTGTTCTTGAGTTTACGGTCCAAGCCTTCAAAGACCGTAAACTCTATTCTTGAGTTTACGGCCGTAAACTCATCAAGCCTTCAGAAACCGTAAACTACCAGTCGACCGTAAACCCTTGTTTACGACCATAAACACCTTTTAAGTGGTGCTTTTGACTGAAAACCCACTTTCATCGATTTGATCAAGTCCCGGTAACATTCCTCAACCGAATACAAGTGTTCCTCTAACACTTTATCTAACGAAATCACTAATTTAGATACATATATGTATTTATTTGATAATAGGATTTCGTTAAGTGTCACGTGCAACAACTCGAGTATCTTCATTTCAGTCAACGCTTTCACACAACAACTGTGAGTTCATACCCCTACATTTTCTGTATTTTAATGTTTTTAGGGGGAGAATCCAAGCTAAACATAAATGTTTTCAAAAACTTATGCAAATCTCATACTTTAACCCTTTTGTACTATGTTGAGCATAAGGGACGTTTTCACTAAAAATTGCATAGTTTTTCCAGACACGCTATTCACTACATTATACATGCGAACTATAATCGGTATAGTTTGGGCTTTTCTAAACATAACAAGTACAGAAACTTTCACTACTAAGCCTATGTGCTAAGACAGAAACCGTTTACAGTTTACATCACTACTTTATCAGGGTATTCATAACTGTAATTATCACTATATACGGTATATATACGGATTTTCACCACGGTAGAACGCTACTACATTACATGTAAACTAGATTGTACGATACTATGATGCGCTACTTCACTACTGTACCCTTAGGTGTACAGGGATAAATCCTACCATAGTATAACCAGAGTCT